GGCTAGTACTAGGAGCTAACGCTAAAAACATAGACAGTAAGCAGGGAGTGGAAGGGAGGAGCGTGGCAAGAATTTTACCGGAAATAAGTCAATAATGACCGTGGCATATAGGCTATTCTCATTATTCTACCTCAACACTTCACTCGTGTGTGTTAGGATGTTCGTGAAGTTCATCACTACTTTACACCCTCCCCCGGGAACCCAGCCGTTAATGCGTGGAAAATGCTTCCCCCATCTCGCGCGCCGCCCAAAACGTACGTGACGCGACGCACGACCCCTACAGGCGTGTCCTCATAGACTTTGCATGTAAACCGGCCGCTCCCGCAGCTCAAAACGTGTTCGGTGTGAACGTAGCATTGTTCGAAGTGCTGAAATCAACTCTTTCCTTCCTGCCAGACAAATGTGTGAAAAACACTTCTCCTTCATAGCACAGACATAAGTTTCCATCAAGTGGAATGACTCAGCTCCTCTTCACATAGAACTGTAAATATAAACATGTGGCCTGATACTTTGACATCCTTGTTCATTATTATAAGCACAATATTGTTTACTCATACGTGTGAGTCACCCCCGTGTTTGTCTTTTCAAGCAGTCGTGTTAAAGTCAATATAGATACAGACAAGCTGCAGCGCTAGATGAGTCATCTGCCTCAGTAACAGCATTATCATGTGACAGGAGTAAGAAATTCATTACGAAATTTCAGTTTTTCAACCAAAACTGAACACATTTCAATTATTAAACTCTGAATTATTTAAAACTTACTTAATTTAGAATGGAATAACAATGTTCATAAAATAAAAATGTGAGCTCTGAAAAATGTGTTCGTACCAGAGAATCCATAAAATATGTCTAACCTTTGTCAGTTGACTGAAGTCAACTCTTTCTGTTYGTAAAAAATCTAATGAACCACTAGACGGATTTTTATTAAAATTTCAGAAAATAATCCTTGGATACACATTTAAAACTGATTAACTTTGGAGTCAACCCAATTAAAGGTGGCCACACCAGCTAATCATCATTAGAAAACACAACAATAGCTGTGTCTCAGTCRGTTTTACAAACATTGAGCTGAAATTTGGTGTGGTCGTAGCTGAGAGTCATTAATATTTTAAGCACTCATAGTATTCCATACATAATGTCATTAAGGTTTGATCAAATCAGCTGCACCCCCTTTCTTTTTAAGATGATTTAACTTAAAACTCTGGCAGAAGAAAGATTAATTTTATAAAGTTGTATAGTTTTATTTTTTTATTTATTTGTGTGTGTGAGCGTGTGTTTTATTTAAAACATTTTGAGGCAGATTCATTGTAATTTTTTAAAGAAAAGGACAGATTCTATTTATAATTATTTAACACAGAACATACTCATGACACTATGATGCTGAGTGATCACGTCATTTGATTTCAACAAAAATTGTGCAAAAGGAATTGGTGATTCAATTGCCTGGGGTTACAGGTTGCAAAAGAGTGGGCATTTTAGTTKWTTTTTTWTTTWTTTTTTTRGAGATTTTAGGATACAAAGGGATATTACGAGATAGACAGCAGTTATRAATGGCAGAATCATGACAATCTGGATCCATAAACAGATGCAGGCCTGCACGGCCTCAGTTTAGCAACCTAAGTGYGGTTATGGAGGGAGCGGAAAGACGCTCTGTCTCAAAGTTGTTAAGGGAAGTTGCAAATAGACTTCCTCTCAAGGTGTGCKTCTTCCTGTCTATTGAGCAACAGGAGCTGATTCAAGAACGGCTGCCCACCTTATTTCATGAGACAAAAAATGTAAAAGAAACACATGGAAATAAAAGGACTTGTTAGAAAAAAAATATTTTTTATTTGAGAGACAAATGTTCAAGCTAATACAGATAGATGATGATAGATAGATAGATAGATAGATAGATAGAT